ATTTGTGTTACTTCAACGCATCAAAGGCCATAGATGTAAGTGTTTAATCTATTGGCAAACTTACTTTTCTTTCTGTTATTTTTTTACGTGTGTATGATTTTGAACGACAGGCCTGTTGGTCTAGTAGTTAGTGACCCTGACTGTTATGCCGGAGGTTGTGGGTTCGATTCCCACCCAGGACAAATGTTTGTGTGATGAGCACGATCATTTGTTCTGTGTCTGGGTGTAATTTATCTATAATATTTATGTATTTAGAAATATATAAGTATGTTTATCAGTTGTCTAGTACCCATAACACAAGCTCTGCTTAGCTTGGGACTAGATGGCGTTGTGTGATAGTTGTGGAATATTATTATTATTATTATTATTTAGTGTTAACAAATTATATTTAAATATTTTGTGTGTGTATATGATTAAGCCGTGGTAGCTCAGATGGTTAGCGCAAGCTGTAAATTTTACAGTACGTAACGCGGGTTCGATCCCCGCCGACACCAATTAAATTGTTAATTGCAATTTTAAGTGTTTATTCTATTGACACACTTACTTTTCTTTCTGTTATTTTCTTACGTATGTATGATTTAGTGTTAACAAATTATATTTAAATATTGTGTGTGTATATGATTAAGCCGTGGTAGCTCAGATGATTAGCGCAAGCTGTAAATTTTACAGTACGTAACGCGGGTTCGATCCCCGCCGACACCACTTAAATTGTTAATTGCAATCATGTCTGAGAAAATTTCGAAGGCATGTGAAGTTCGCCAACACGCATTGAGACCGCGCCGCGGACATTTCCTAGCCATAAATACAAAGACAATAGCAGAAATAAAAAAGTTAAAAAATACTTTTTTAACAATGACAGTCATTAGTTGATCATTAGTGAATGTGATTCTGTTTTCTTAAATTACAGGAAGAAAAGAGCAGAAGGAAGAAATGGGGTGATGGGAAGTAATGAAGAATGAATTGTTATGTGAAGTTTGTTGGAACAAACATATTTTAGTCACGTGTAAATACTTTTAACATTTTGGTTCAAAATGACACAAAATCTAAAAAATATTAGATACATCATCGACATGGACGGATTTTACATTACATACCCTCATAAACATTTTCAATGTAGAGAAATGGCTATTCTAGACGTAAAACTATCTAATAAAAATGATTCGTTTATCGATCATTATTTGTTTCAGCCAAGTTATCCTTTCAATTATTTGTCGCCAAAAGACAAAAAAAACTGTTCGTTATTGTGAAATACACGTGCACGGCATTCCATATTTTGATGTGACCGAAGAATTAAAATGTGCCTACAAACAAGAGAACATCATTCCCATATTAAATTGGTATATTAGAAATTTGTGCAAAGACGAAGTGATCGCATACAAAGGTGGTTCAACAGAAAAACAATTTTTAAAAATGTTGACGACGAATGATAGAATTTTTAATATTGAAGAATACAAATGTCCAAAATACAATGATTTGGTAAATGTCATAAATTTAAACAAACGTTATGTGTGTAATAATCATATATTTGCAAAAAATAAACACAAAATTTTACATTGTTCTTGAGATGAAGTGTGGGTTTTTTACAAGTGGTTATTACTTGAAAATAAAATTTTAAATTAATCATAAATTTTGTTTGATTTCCAAAAAACATTAGACAAAATTGGTTCAACAGAAAAACAATTTTTAAAAATGTTGACGACGAATGATAGAATTTTTAATATTGAAGAATACAAATGTCCAAAATACAATGATTTGGTAAATGTCAAAAATTTAAACAAACGTTATGTGTGTAATAATCATATATTTGCAAAAAATAATCACAAAATTTTACATTGTTCTTGTGATGAAGTGTTGGGTTTCTTACAAGTGGTTATTGCTTGAAAATAAAATTTTAAATTAATCATAAATTTTGTTTGATTTCCAAAAAACATTAGACAAAATTGGTTCAACAGAAAAACAATTTTTAAAAATGTTGACGACGAATGATAGAATTTTTAATATTGAAGAATACAAATGTCCAAAATACAATGATTTGGTAAATGTCATAAATTTAAACAAACGTTATGTGTGTAATAATCATATATTTGCAAAAAATAATCACAAAATTTTACATTGTTCTTGTGACGAAGTGTGGGTTTTTTACAAGTGGTTATTGCTTGAAAATAAAATTTTAAATTAATCATAAATTTTGTTTGATTTCCAAAAAAACATTAGACAAAATTGGTTCAACAGAAAAACAATTTTTAAAAATGTTCACGACGAATGATAGAATTTTTAATATTGAAGAATACAAATGTCCAAAATACAATGATTTGGTAAATGTCATAAATTTAAACAAACGTTATGTGTGTAATAATCATATATTTGCAAAAAATAAACACAAAATTTTACATTGTTCTTGTGACGAAGTGTGGGTTTTTTACAAGTGGTTATTGCTTGAAAATAAAATTTTAAATTAATCATAAATTTTATAACTAATGTTTTTGGGAAATCAATCTTTACCAAATCATTGTATTTTGGACATTTGTATTCTTCAATATTAAAAATTCTATCATTCGTCGTGAACATTTTTAAAAATTGTTATTGATTTCCTGCATGTCTTACCAGGTTGTACACTTGCTTTACCGGTACGTACACCACTCGAGAACCTTTCGTCCCCATCGGTTGTCTATTTTATTTAATAAATTAATAATCGAAGGTTATTATAAAGGCTTTTTCAAAAAACATTTCACTGTAATAATGATGAAAAGTCATTTTTATGTCAAGTAGAAACAGTCGAACAGCGACCCTCAGCAAATGGAATTGGAACGCTCTCAACAAACACTTTCAACCAATCGATCGGCCTCCACTACTGATCACCAATAGTATGGATTTTGCATTCATCTTAAATTTGCTCAGCTAAAAGCTTACCTACTATTTATGAAAGTTGTTACTAGCAAATATTGTTTTGAAATTAAAATCAATTTATTTTCTTCGGACGTCATGTTTGAATTGTTTTTAAAAGTATCGATTGCCGCTCTGTCTTTCTGACTATTTATTAAAACACAAAGAGTCTGAATAAGTAAGGGCATCTACGAGGGGCGGTTGAAAAGTTTTAAGCCTAAGTACCTTCAAGTGTCATTATTGCCTGGCGTTGTATATTATTAATTTGCGAATACCCTCCTTAGTATACATAAAAGTTTCATATCATTAGTATCTTTACGCTTTTAGTGATTAATCCGTTAATATCATCATGTCTCTGTCATCCGCGCATTGAACGATAATCGAGTACAAAGCTGTCATAAAATGACTCCTCACAATGAAGAACAAAACTCCGACGGAATATTTGAAGATATGTCCACAGTTTACGAGGAGTCTGGACCTTCAATTTCCACCATAAAACGTTGGAGCCGAGAATTTAAGCATGGAAAGGAGTCGCTAGAAGATGACCCCCGGTCGGCGCGACTAAACATTGCCGTTAACGAAGAAAATATTTAAAAAGGAAATAAACTTGTTCTATAAGATCTGTGAATCACGTTGCGACAGATAGCTGAAACCATAGACATTAGCAAAGAACAAATCGGAGATATTTTGCATACTCATTTACACATAAAAAAGGTATGCGCACGATGGGTGCCAAGAATGCTTACTCCGCTGTACAAGCAGCGTCGAGTCACAACTTCGCAGGAGTTTTTGGACATCTGTAGTGATAATCCTGATGATGTTTATTCTTGCATTATCACTGTTGACGAAACATGAATCTGAATGACTCCAGTACGATCCAGAGTCAAAACAAGAGTCAATGCAGTGCATTGAAAAGGGAAAAAAGCCACCACGGAAATTCAAAGTGGAGTGATCGGCATCAAAGCTCATAGCCACTGTTTTTTGGAACTGTGAAGGAATGTCATTAGTTAACTACCTTGATAAGAATAATACAATGAACGGACACTATTATGCTGCATCATTATATAAAGTGCGTCAAGTTGTTGTTAAAAAAGGAAGAAGCAAATTCTCCTGTTTTTGCAAGACAATGCGCACGTGCACTCTGCACGAGTTGCAAGGCTTGCCCTGAACAAAACCGGATTTGAAGAAATCAATCACCCACCATACAGTCCAAATCTAGACCACAGCGATTTTAACTTATTTTCAAATTTTAAGAAAGACCTCCGCAGACATAGATTTTCGAGTGACGAAGAAATGAACGCAGCGGTAGACGAGCACTTCGAAGGCAAAGATGGCGAATATTTTTTCACTGGGATAAAAGCCCTTTATCACAAATGTAAGAAGCGTATTGAAGTAGAGGGAGATTACATAGAAAAATAAATATTGTATACTTTTCTATCAGTATTTTTAATACACAGAAATCTATTTTGTAGAACGTCATGTCATAGTGATTGTGAGAACGAGAAAAGTAAATATACAATATATAAATATAATTAAGGTATCTCCATGTGTAATCGAAGTAACCAGCTGCTATTAAGCTTATGGTGTTATGTTTATGCTATTAAGACATGAAAGACATTTTAAATTTTTTTGTTTGTCAGTGTGTTTGTCTCTCTGTGCAGGTTATTTCTTCGAAATGAATAAACCGATCGTGATTAACCTTCACAAACATTCAGATTTAAAGAAAGCGTAAACTGCGTGATTAGTATAAAAATATGTAGAATTTTTCTGATAAATCTATTTGTATGATTATCTCATAAAGTGTAAGGTATATAAAAAAGTTGTTTACAAAACATTGTTTAAAAATTTGTTTTCCTTTAATGATTCATAGTAATTTTGCATGTACATTTTTTGAATAAAAATATTTATATTAACTATACTGAGCTAAGCCTAGAGTACCATTTAACTTAAAATCCCTAAGTACTTATTAATGGTATAGACTATTAATACTTAGGGATTTTAAGTTAAACGCATAATTGCCACATGTCGGCCATGAGACAATGTGTTCATTTCTCCTATTGCATAAACATCTGGTATTGATATTAGTTTCTATGTCATTTCTTTTGTTTTTGTTACAGGGATCGAATATATAAACTAAACATGACGGACATCAGTCAGTCACATTGTGAGGTCAGTATGACTCAGAAACTCATAATATAAAACAAAAAAGAGGGTAGTTACTATACTGGATGAACTTTTTTACCGTCTGGAAAAAATAGCGTGTAATATGTAAACGGAGAATCCTGTGGCACTGATGTTCACAAAATATAAAAACAATTATTATGATTTATAGAAATATATTAATTAAAATCTATCGAAATTCAAATCATATCCACCCTACTTTACAAACGTCAATAAAACAATAAATGTAGTAGGTATCTTTGAGATTGTCACTTCGAAAGTCACAGGCTCAAGGGCAAAGAAATGGTTCAAAAATATTTTTAAACGTTTAATTCAATTTTTTTGTTTTAAAACAATGTACACCCCATTTTTTCCAGACGGTAAAAAAGGTCATCTAGTATATGTGTGGCCGTGGTAGGAAAAGGGGAGATCTCCCGCCGGGCAAGGTGTTCTGCCCGGGGAGCGGCTAACACTCCGTGTGATAGTTCGGAGAAGTTCTATATATACTGTTTATGATTCGGAATGTTGATAGCGTGATTTAAGCTTCGATGTATTTCGCTTGTGGCGCGACGACAGCGCCGCCACATCACCCCCTGCTCGACCGGAGGTCGATAGTGCAGTCTAGTTGTCGACGAATGTGCAAGTTGCCAGGAGATTGCTTTGTAGTCTGCGGTGAGTCGAGAAGAAGGCAAGTAATCTGCGAGAGTGCCGTGAAGCAGAGGCGAGCAGTAAGGCTCAGAGCCGTGCCGAACACTGTATGGCGCAGAGAGTAGCTTGAAGGAACAGGAAGCATTATTATTCCAGTGCTGCGATGAACCTTGTGAAGCTAGATGGCTTGCAGGATATGAAGACTGCAGACGATATCTGCTCGGGAGCGAATGAGTGGGGTATTCTATGACGATGATGAAGCTTGAAGTTTCCGAAGGTTGTTTGGTTGCATGTTCAAGATCACGTCGGATGGTGACCACTGTGGCCGTGTTAGGAAAAGGGGAGATCTCCCACCGGGAAAGGTGTTATGCCCGGGGAGCGGCCGACACTCCGTGTGATAGTTCTGAGATGTTCTATATATACTGTTTATGATTCGGAATGTTGATAGCGTGATTTAGGCTTCGGTGTATTTCGCTTGTGGCGCGACGACAGCGCCGCCACATATGTATGTGTGTATTTAGAGACTTTTCATGCTGATATCTTCAGCAACAAGTAGGGATTTGAAAAAAAAAATCTACTTCTAAGGGTGGAAAAATACGTGAGGTAATTTTCAATTTAAATATTAAGACGATATAAAAGTCTGTTTGTGCTTACATAAGTTTCAAAGAACGACACTTTTTATTCCATGCAGCGAGTAATTAACCCATCTCTACGCCACATGAGTTTTATTAAAGTAATTTCACTTAAAAGGAAAAACACTTATGATTATGCGGAAGCTTGACTTCCGTGCTCTTTAACGTTTACAAAGCAACGGTTTCTGTGACTGAATTGTAAGCGGACCTTCATGTATAATTATTTATTTCAAGTGCAAGTTTTTGTATAAGTGTATATAATACACACATACATACATTAGAGAAACATTATCCTATTTTTGAGTCAGTCGGGTATAATCTAAAAATAATAAAATATTTTCTAAGTTGATGTGTAAACATATTGTGTCGAAGAATATTTAAAGCCCCGAATTTAGAAGCTATTATTTGGCTTTTTTGTGTTTAAGGACAGTTTTTAATTTCTTTAAAATTTTATTTTTAATCTTAAGTGGAGTAACGAATATCTTAAGTTTAAAGTAACATTCTTTTACGTCGTCTTGATATTTAGATAGAAAATTACCTCACGTATTTTCCACCCTTAGAAGTGGATTTTTTTCAAATCCCTACCCAGAAACCCAAAGAAAAATGGCGAAACAATTGTGTTTAAAATAATCCTCATTGTAGATGAGGATGAATATTGTAAAATAATTTATTTTTGTAAGACGGTCTTATTAAAATTATGACATAAGACTATTTTGATTCCTTCGTTTGATAAATTAACGCCTTTTCAGCGAGACGCCTTACTACTGGAAGCAAGTAATGTAGCACGATGTGTAAGCAAAGGAAAATCAGAGCCGTTTGAGTGCAGAAACCACATTCGGGTGCTACAGCCTCTTGGTGACGGGGAACGATTATATGTATGCGGCACAAACGCCCATAGTCCCAAGGACTGGGTTGTTTACGTAAGTTCTTTTCTTATTATGTTTAATTTTTATATCTTTATTTATATAATTAAACGGTCGAGTTATTAAAAAATACATATATACTTACATTTCAAAAAATCACATTATCTCAATATCAGCCAAGACAAAAAGTGTAATAAAGAAATCAAACGCATCGTGCCACCCACCAGAAGAGGCAGAACAACGTTTGCTTGGCCGGCTAGTTTTATATAAGTAAATTAGCCTCAGTAATTACAGGTTTTGCAAGAGCTAAGCAGACAAATGCAAAGTAAATAAGTTATCGATTGAATGGGTGATGTAACAAAACTGTTATTTTGATCAAATAATTTTATCAGTTAAATACCGTGATAACTATTTTATGAAGGTGGCATAATATGTCGAAGAATAATTAAGGCCCCGAATTTAGAATCTATTATACTAGCGAATAGGATCTTCTTTACACGTAATATTATAAACAGAAACACCGTGTTTGATTTTTAATAACTTTTTAATTATATTAAAATGTGAAATAATCCTATTTTAATAATGATTTTAACTAGACTTGCAACGAATAGTATATTTCGGCGCGCGCCGAATGCCGAATATTCTGCTGACTTCCTGACCGAATAGCCTAATATTAGCCAAAATTATTCGGCCGGGAAGGAAGTAGTGTTTATTCTTCCGAGCGTCTATTCTCTGAAGCACTTATTGTCTACGAGAAGAAAAGTAGTAGGCTACTGCCTAAAATGAACAAAAAATAGTCTTTCTGTATCTTTATCTTCCACTTTGATTACGATAATTCGAGTGCATATACATTTATCTGATGGTTCTTTTTTTTATATATTTTTTATAATATGGAAGTTGATAATGTACATATGACTACTTTAATGATTAAAAGAAAAATATATATAAAACAAATAAATATTTTTATTTTACTGATTATTTGACTACAATAAAACCTCTTACGGTTACTCTAAGTATTCGGTATTCGGTCGAATAATACTTAGATTTTGGTATTTGACCGAATAGGATAAAAGTAGCTGAAAGGCCGAATACCAAATAATAGCCGAAAATTCGTTGCAAGTCTATAAACCAGTTTTAACTCAGTGTATTACTCGGGATAGGTAATTTATAGTATTGTTTTTATAAACTGTTTGGAACATATTCATGTACCACAGTATTAATATATAAATTAAGACTGTGCATGTAAGGTGTAAAGCGCTATTGCGGCAGTGTTAGATAACAAATGAGTTTTGTTCATCTTTTCCATCCCACCTGGAATAAGACCGCAACGGAACGCGCGCCGAGATACTATGTAGTTATAGAGCTGGTTATAAGAAGTTATTAGTAAACCTGCAACAATATAACTCGCTTTTAAATTGTTAAATGTGAAATATTTTACAAACTTTTCAAGTAGATTTTACTGTATCGTGATTTGAAAAATAATTGCATTATAAAATCTAATTTCACAATCTTACAATATTTACAATGGAATTTTTTATAATAATATGTAATATAGTACCTTTCGCATTTTTTATTTATGTACTATGGTATAATATATATATATATATATATATATATATATATCATTGATATGATGATGGATATATAATTCCGTTGCACTATTATTTCTGGTTTGTTTCTCAGTCTTAGATTTAATTAAATAACATTTAATTAAACGTTAGTATTTCAGCCATATTTAATTTATATTAATATTCTTTAAGATCATGAGAACACGTAACCTGAACACAGAAACACGTTACTTCATTTGAAGACATTTTTCTACTGCTTCCTGGTAAAGAAAGTTATTGAGGTCGGTTCTGGCTAAGTTATTCTAATAGAATATGATGAATGGTTTTGTTGTCATTCATACCAGCCTATCAAAAGTCTTACTAAACGTAGGCCTCCACTCATATATAAAACCGTAATATTTCAATATTATTATTGAGTTGCTATCAGGAAAATGCTGCAGCCCATCTCTTGTTTCATATCCCTCTGTCGCCTTAAGAGTTGACGTAAGCTTCAACCATGGTATATGATATGGTGTAGGAGATCTCATTTTGCCACTACACGGCATTGTGTTGTTCGTGTCCAATTATTGTAGGAAGTTTACTTTTCATTTTACGTCAGCTGTCTCTAAATCCCTTCATATCTTCACAGATTCACAAAGATTTGTTTGGTGCTACTCTTGGCAGATAAGTAAATTTAGAGGGTATCAATTTAGTTAACTTAGTACAAACGTCTCAATATCATAGCTTATATTAAATTCAACTATTGTTTTTGTGATTCTGAACCCCACTCTTGTAATTGTTTCACAATATTTATTTTAATTATTAATTTATTAACTATAAAACCGACGAATTTCGTCTCGTGGCATGATCAGGGTGAGACCAGGCGGCGCAATCGCAAGTATAAATTCGTTGTTAGTATTTTAAGATGGATCAGAATCCAATATCACTAGCAATTCCTCTTTATCGATCTAAGAGGTTGGTCTTCACCGTTGCTTATCTTAAATTGCAATTCATTAGAAGCAGCATTACAAGGCGTCATCTATATCACTTAATAAATAAACTTATAATAAGAAAATACTCAAAATTTCGATGTTCCCATGTTTATGTACAACGGTAATTGTAGTAATAGTTTTAATTTTATAATGTTACATATTATTATGCAGGTAAGTTTTAAATAAAACATGTTCAACTTCGAATGCCCTCTGATAGTGACAGTAATATTTTAAGCCATAGTGGATAGTATAAAATGGTGACTCAAATTCTTTTTACTTTAAGCTTCTATAGTGTATTCATAGTATCGCATAAGGGATTTTTAATTTGATGATTATTGGATGTTACATTTTTTTGCAAAAGGTTTGTTATGAACTATGTGCAATTTAAATAGTTATTAAGCAGGGTTACACCTGAACCTTATGTATATCAAATTAGTGTATTACATGTATTATTAATTAATTGGCCTCATTTGAGTATATCTCTAATTGTGTCATCTGTCGTGCAGTTAAATCTGACTCATCTACCGCGACACGAGTACGTGCCGGGGGTTGGCCTCGGAGTAGCCAAATGCCCTTATGACCCGGCGGATAACAGCACAGCAGTGTGGGTCACTCAGGGCAACCCTGGCGGACTGCCAGCGTTGTATGCCGGAACCAATGCTGAATTCACCAAAGCGGATCCAGTCATTTTCCGCAATGACCTCTTTGATTTCCGGACTGGACAAAAGAGGTTTAATTTTAAGAGGACGTTGAAATATGATTCAAAGTGGCTGGACAGTGAGTACTTTTCTAAATTACTATACATTTTTTTAATTTTATTTATTTATTAGAATTACCAACAGAAATTACAACAGAATACAAAGATCATTTTCATAACAAATTAAGCCCATTATAATTGTATTTCTTTATGAAAAATGAAAGTATTATAAGAAAAAAAACTGAATTACATCATTGAATAAATAAATTATTAAAAAGAAATAGAATTATTTAACAATATTATAGAAAACATCATTATCATATTAAATGCATTAATCACATTATAGAAAATAAAAACAATTCCAATATTATACTTATTAATTATTTGATTCATTAATTTTAAAGAAATTGATTAATTTTGATTTGAAGGTAGATAAACTATCGCAAGTAATATTGAGGCCATATTTTTCCCCGTAGATTCACTTAAAATTCACTGTAACTATATGAATTCATAGACCAGCAATAAAAGCTTAAAATAAGTCGTAATTGACGGTTTGAGGCTTAAATTATAAGCAATATTGACTCGAATAATGATTAATTACCTTGTTTCAGAAACGAACTTTGTTGGGTCTTTTGATGTCGGAGAATATGTACTATTATTTTTTCGAGAAACCGCAGTAGAGTTCATGAACTGCGGAAAGGCTGTATATTCTCGGGTAGCTCGGGTTTGTAAACAAGATACAGGTGGAAAGCACATACTTAGCCAGAACTGGGCCACTTATTTAAAAGCAAGGCTCAACTGCAGCATATCCGGGGAGTTCCCTTTCTACTTCGATGAAATACGTGAGTTCTATAAACATTTTTAATTAAATATCTATGGTATAGTTAATAAATAAGGATTATAGGATACACTATATAATTTTCATCAATAAAAAAATAGTATTAATAAGATTACATCGTCAAAATTTTCTTTTGCTATCATCTAATTTATGAAATATTGCGAATGCGATAGTAAATGTGATAAGACTTATATCCTTAGTTCATATCTTCTGTCTTTATTTATTTTGACTTTATTTTTACGTACTCAAATTGAATATTTGGCAATGAGTGTTATTGATTAAAAAGAAAAAAACTTCTTAATTTCTGTCTAAAAATAACTACTATGAAAATCAAGTTAAATTTTCTTTAGTTTATATATTCATTTGATTTAACTTTGTCATTTTAAGGCAATTTATTAAATGTTGAATATAATGTTTTTTTTGAAATTTCTCCTGTAATATTATACGGCATCTGATATAAAAACCACTTAAAATCACAAGAGATAATTATTTAAAACCCTAACTTATTCTGTGCGGTGAAAAACCCTCAGACCATTGCAATAACACCATATACCTACTTAGTCACTACGCTATGTAGCCCGTCTATATAAAACTACATATAACAGTTTATTAAAAAATTAAATACAGAACTTTTTAAATGGATACCCTAGGTACCCTTTCGTTTTATGGAGTGAAGAAAAAGAAAATACTAAAATACTAATCACAATATATTTTAAATATTTATTTCAATGTGTGATCAAATTATTAAGAATTATATAATATTGTCTGTTATCTCTGCCTGACGTTTTTTGTTATGCAAGTTTTTTTGTATTTTCTTATGTATTTTATTCATGACTTGGGATTTAGTGGAATTCTCTTCATTAAACAATCAACCTCTTGGTCGTCATCTTCAGTTTCATTTAGTTTCTCCTTACTTTTAAACATTGAACCAAGAATGTTGTCATCAGTCAGTAAAGTGGTTGTGATCAGGGCCTGGATCTATGTTTTCGTATGTTTAACCTTAGCTAAAATTGTCTGATATATGTTGAACTGTTTAATCCTGTTGACTCAATGATAGATTGTCCTCACTATCGAACTGCTCCGTTTCTGCCATCTGACTCTTACATAGTCCTGCGTGACGAAAATAGTGCTTTATGGTTGCAACTGTTAGCTTTTTTCAGGCTTTCGATATGGAGTTCACTACTTATAGTATATGAATCGAGGTCTTACCGCCAATTTTGATCAGATTCTTCAACAGGTTTCTTCTATAGTAATAACTTAGTCTTTTAATCACACCCTGATCCATTAACTGCAAGATACTTTTTGTATTATCTGGAAGAAACACTAACTCTATGTTTCGAAGATTGGATATAAGAGGGCGAGTAGGACAATTGCCTCAGAAGCAAAATTTTACGTCTCTTTAATTCAGCATCCTTTTTTCTCTCACTTCCTTGTTACCTGATTTATTGCCTTTATATGTGACTGACAACAGTTTTATGTTCTTAAAACACCGAGGGTTTTATGATGTGCCTATAACCAAGTCTTCTTTATTTTGTGCCACGTATATTGGCAGCTACGGTACTACAGTAATACGCTCTTTAAAGTTTTGCTCTCACACATTGATCTCCTTTAAATTTTTAAGGTTTGTTGGGCTTCATCTTGAAAAAAAAATCCGTTTCATCAGGATTAAGAATTTCGTTTAGATAGTACTTTTATATTAATTTAGGGCACATTTTATTTATCCAGTCGTTGGTCACATTCATATAGACATTTCGCGCCTCTCCGCTCATTTTACCGTGGATAATATTGTAACGTTGTTAAATTTTTCCCAGCAAATCTTCTGATGTTTTAATGTCGGTAATGCCAAGTTATTCGGTAATTTTTTTAACGCATGGCCCTGAAGTGATAACATTATACTGGCGCTTATTCTTAAACAGCGATAACATTGCTTAATCCAAATCTTCGAATTTTGGCTTCCATATTCTTTTAAAATACTTTCCTTCCAGCTCCGCTTGCGAATTTTCTCTTGTTTTACCAAATCATAGCAACAGTAGATTAACTTAGCCTTTTTTTTTTCTGTTATTTGCCTAGTGTTACTGCATTGCAGCCAAGAGTAATTTCACACGTGTTCTAGGCAATTAATAATAACAAAAGCAAGGCAGCTGTTTATGACTTCGGATGTCTTTTTTGATAATTTCAGCACTTTTAAAATTTTCTCGAAGCCTTTTTTTAAACCGGTAATATAAACAGTAATGTCGATAAAATATATTTACTGACGTCTAAATATAAACGTATTTCTTCGTAATAGAGAACGCAGATGCGCTATAAACAATGTATCCATGTATGGTTTATATGGCAAAGTAACTAAAATAAACTAATTTCTACGTTTTTTTTTTTTTTTTTTTTTTTTTTTTTTTTTGGGGGGGGGGGGGGGGGGGGTTTTTGTTTTTTTTTTTTTTTTTTTTTTTTTTTTTTTTTTCACATGTTTTGGGACCTTTTTTTTTTTTTCCTGGTTTTAGGTTTTTTTTTATAGATACTGTTTCGCTATATTTCGTTATGAAGAGTTTACGTAATATAATACTGTACTCGTATAATACATTTATATATATTATTATCACATTTAAGGGGATAATTATCAGAAACACAGGTCTGTTTAGTAACAAATATTTATATGTAATACCTACTTGTGAATGGTGTGTAATAATTTGTCTTTTTCTTGTTTTTGTCTCAGAGAGCGTCTATCAAATACCAGGCGATCCCACTCGATTTTATGCGGCTTTCACGACGGGTGCAAGTGATGGGCTAGTCGGTTCAGCCATTTGTACTTATACTATGGAAGATATACAAAATGCTTTCGCCGGACGCTTTAAGGAGCAGGTCATTGTTATATCCTATGTTTTAATTAATTATGGATGTTGTATGCTTTTAATGAAAACGTACACATAGTAGTACATTTATTAAAAAAGAAACATGGTTCTGTTTGATGTGATAGCAGTATTTATTTCCATGTTGATTTTTATTATTATTATTTGCTCAATGTTTATGTACTTAGTGTTTGATTACAAATACTATTTAGTTATTTTTTTTAATCGTTAAACATATTGTGGTTGCAAGCTTTTAAATGTATGTATTAGATATCTGTGGAAACTTCATTGGTTTTAGGATTACTTTTATATGTTTTATAATGTATTTTTATTGTACTGTATGTTTCCATTAGAAAGCAAATAAATAAATAAATAAAAATAAATGAATTATTTTTACTCCATTTACTTAGGCGACTTCAAGTTCGGCGTGGTTACCAGTACTAAGAGCCAGAGTGCCTGAACCTCGTCCAGGTACTTGTGTAAACAACACAGAAGCGCTTCCGGACAATGTGCTCAATTTTATCAGGTAAACTATTGTAAATTCAAAATAATATTTATAAGACTCAATAATTGAGTAGCTGATAAAAGTTATCCATGGAATAAATTATAACCTTACTGAATAAAAATAATGAGAGAATTGAACTATGTATTTTTTTTTTATAGGATAGGGTGACAAACGAGCACACAGTCCACCTGATGGTAAGTGGTTGCTGTGGCCCATAGACATCTACATCTATATTCGATTACGAATCAAAATGCAGATGCGTTGTCACCCGTGAGGACTCAGATGGAATGCCTCGTTTCCAGTAAAAAGGGTCTCCGGTTCTCTACACTCACCATACGAAACACAGCAGCATTAAGCTACTATTTGACGCTGGTATTCTGTGAGAGCGTGGTCCCTCCCCGGTCGAGCCGACCCATTCGTGCTACAACTATATTACTAATATAACTGCAGCATGGCTCTACCACGTATTAATTTTATGAACAATGTAGTGGTGGTGTAAGATTATCCACTATTACATATTGTCCCGTACGTGTCGTAAGAAGCGACAGGGAAAAACAAACCGGTAGATGGGCTTCAGCGTCTTCATAATAACTAAAATTAAAAAAAAAACTGCAATTGCCAAACCGCCTGCCAAATATGGCATATATACCCCTTTGAGGCAATCTACGGGGGCACCTATGTTCAGCAGTGGACTTTGATAGACTTTAATGGTAGTGGATTCATACAACTGTATTTTTAATTTGTAAATGTTGCCTTTTGCCATATGAATAAATTTTATTTGAGCATAAAAAAATCGGCCCTTAGTCACCATTTAAACTTTTTTGTTCTGTTTATAAATACAACTCTAGCAAGAAATTACTCATTTTAATTTTAACTTATAACTATTATAATGATTCCTTATATTTACGAGAAGACTTCATATTTAATACAACTATTTATACGAATTTTATCGCGTTTAATTAACTTATTTTTAATTCGCGACGTTTCGGGTGCTTTACAGCACCCATAGTCACAGGGGGACTGAGATATTTAATGTTCCAATGTCATAGGCTACCTTCAGTTTTTGAATATTAATTTTTGGTACGATCTACGCAGAACAAGCTTACAGTATCTTGAAGTCTATCAGATGTATGCTTGGGTTTGGATTCAATTTTGTTAATTATGATCCAAGAAACACATTTCCTAGAATTGTCTTTCAATAGACAAAACACCAGCGAAGACCCAAGATACTGGCTGGTTGCTGGCAAAGCACCCAAAACGTTGGGAATTAAAATAAAAGTTAAAAATAAGTTAATTAAGCGCGATAAAATCCGTATAAATAGTTTTATATCTGATATGATTAAGTTATACAAGCATTATACACGACATTGTCATATATAAACGAGGTAGTCTTAGTGGTAAACCAAAATAATTCATCTTATATTTCCTCCGCGACTAATCTCTACAAGGATATACTAAATTGTGTTGTTAGTTATATGATTCGTTTGTTCTCTTAATTGGGTCACATTCATGTCTCCATTGAAGGCGGTATGTATTTAGTCGGTACTATAAATACAGAATAAATGGCAACTATTGTTTGCGTTGATGCGTTAACCAAGTGAATCAAATGCACTAGTTAATTTAGAAGCTTTTATGAATTATACTATAAAACTGAATAGATTTATCCCTTTCAGATATTGTTGCGATATTCATTTAAATAAAATTTGCCCCATATTGGCTGTTTTGCGTTTTTTAACATAATCACTAATGTTATATTTTAAATGTATCCGTGATAATTCAAGTGCCAGGCACTTAGCTTGGTCTCTCGAAGACAAATACAATTTAAAGTGGTGCGTCATTTTTAAAACTATTAATATTTAACTACGTGAATTAAATGTGATTTTAACTAGAAGTATGTGCTACTATACTGAATGACTAGTGTTGTTGATCCTCTTAACCATTTTTGTCGCTAAATGATGATCATTTAGCGACAAAAATGGTTAAGAGGATCACACACTAATTCTTAGAAATAAAAATATTAATTAAATAATAAGATCCATCCATTGATGTCCCGATCGAAGTGGGATTTATCTATTCGGACAATTTGTCCTGGGTAAATACACTTGTCAACAACTTCGAGCGTAGTGTTTCCAACAATTACCCGTATCGATGAGACATAAAAATTACCAAGTTCATGCCTTTGTATTGCACGGGAAAGACAAAGGTCACTGTAATTTCTATTCCATTTCATTATTAGACCTATCAGTTGGGAGACAGTATTAATGTCATTGAACACATCTAGTACTCCTCCAGCGATTCTGTCATAATAACTTTACCGTCAGCAAATCAAAGGTGAGTGTTATGATCACCATTGGTATTGATACCGTATCCTTTTCAGTTGAATAGCTTAAAAACTTCTTCCAATACATTGGTGGAGAGTTTTGGGGATATAACGTCACCCTATATTACACCTCTTTGCAGTTTGATAGTTTTCGTACTCTGTTATTTTACTGGGACAGTGGCGATATATAGATAGATAGATATACCGACATTCATCCTGACATTACTAAAAGTACTGTGGCAACGCCCAAATTTCGACAATAACACTTTCTCATAGTTCACACACGCAAGACCAACTTGAAGATTGCACACTTCGGTCTTTTGTACAATTTTCCGAAGAATATTTATTTGACCTATGGTAGTAGTAAAATCCTTTTGGGAAACCAACATCTATAGTTCTTTGATTAAGCTAGAACAAGATCATCGGATTTTTGTTCAATGCTTCCGGAGTGTCACCACCTTGCAGAACAGAATTAACTCACTTCTGAAGGACTTTAATGCTTTCAGAAGCTTCGCTGTAATGTCGTCCCTACATGGGGGTTTTGTCGTTTTTAAGGTGCTGAAGAGCTGTTCTAATATTTCTAAGACGTGTGGTTTCTACGTTGATATGTAGGTACGGTTGTCCGAATAGCCTTTCATTCTCTCTTGCAATCTCCGGTTGCCAGGAAATGACGCTGTCTCAATCGGTCTTCAACTTAAATAATTAGCTCTTTCCAGCTGACTTATGCATTATAAACAGGTTATTAATAAAAATAAAAATGATCTTAACTTTTTTTATATTTGCGAAACTAATTTCATATTTTCCTTTAAAAGGTCTCATCCCTTAATGGACTCTGCAGTGAGACACGAGGGTGAGGCACCTGCATTCTACAAGAGAGATTTGGTGCTCACTACTTTAGTTGTGGACAAGCAATTTGTTGACATGCTAGGTGACGATATCACGTACACCGTCTTCTATGCAGGCACGAGTGAGTACAACCTATATCTTTATACATAACATCATATTTTATGTTATGTTCATAAATTACAAAATAATATAAGGTTATTCAATTTCAAAAAGAAGAAATTTGTAAGACAGTCAACATTCTCAGATTCTGCGAGATGTTCCGTAAATAAGACTTTACGGAACGTCAGCTAATTAGGAAGAAGAAGAGCAAAATTGCATATAGTAAAGTTTAAACTACGAATACTTCAATAATATTTTTTTAATATTATTTTGTAGAATACGGATAACAGGTGAGCACAGAATGCACTTGATGGTATGTAGATGCTGGCCCACAGACATCTACGTCAAACCTCGATTAAGAATCAAAATGCAGAGGTCACATCTGAGGACCAAGATGGAGTGCCTTGTTATCAATTAAAAGGGCCTCCGGTTCTTTACAATCAACATACGAAACACAGCAGCATTATTCTTATCTTTCACGCTGGTGTTCTGATAATGTGTGGTCCCATTTTGATTGAGCAATCATAATACTGTAACGTAACTGCCTTCTCGTTTTAATTCTGTATAAAAACCGATTATCAAAAAAATACCATAATAAATGTTATTAAAAGTCATGGAATGTAATTTGCTTTCTTTAGGGATCTTTATGTATGGAAAAGGAGTGATTTATCGTGATAAGTTAAGTATCTATTTTTTTTAAATATTAGACTTTAATTTGTTATTTTGTTTTGATAGAGCATAGCACAATTTCACATTGATTGAATCAACTAATATCTTTGTCGCCTAAACGGTTAGTCCAATCCCAGCATTCAACTAAATTTGTAAACTTGTAGTGGATTTAATTTTACTAGTCCGGGATTAACTGCTGAACGTGGAGCTCTCCGGAATGTGGAGCCACATTTTCAGCTGGATCGCAGTATGGATACTTTACGTCTGACGTATTAAACGAGACTCTTATATCACCATCAATCGGAAACATGATATCTTTCTAGCAATTCCCCCAGTTGATGAGATGGATCTCTTACGTTGTGTGTCTATTTTGTATAACACGTGACAGGACAATGACATGATTATTAAATGTCTTGGTAGTGGCGCGAAAACCGGCCCCCAGCATATCCTCAAAAATTGTAGCATAATACAGCTGTATAACATATTGTGAATCAACAGAACCACACGAAAATTTGTGATAATCCCCGGAATATGTAATGATAACGTAACAGATAGCTTAACGCTGGCTAACCGCTTCACTAAACGTTGCATTTAGAGATTTGGCTTCGCTTTCTTAGAGCGGCCGATGTGGTGGCTCAACTAGCAGCATCTTATTCGACTAGCAGTACAGTAAGAGGTTACTAAATGGCTGATTAGAGATTCGAGCTGCGATACGTAAACATAACAAGCTTTAAATTTAACAATTCAAAAATTATTACAAGCAGACCTATCTTAGTATGTAAATTAGTTTGGATTATTAGAATATTATAAAGTAGATAAGAATACTTAAGTACCCGGCGTTGAATTTCAAAGTTCATTACTACTAAAAGCATACGAGTGGCTGCTTTGAACTGCCGACTTGCACTAACTAAATATGTGTTTAGAAATAAAAGTACATTAAGTTTTAGTAAGAGCTTTAAAATGTTGACAAAGTTGAACTTGCGAAGGTACCGGCGAGGTGTACAAGATAGTGCAATGGGCCGGTGGCGGGTCTCGAGTAGCGGACGTATGGCGTGCGGCGGGAACCGAGGCGGTGCGTGCCCTTGCGCTATCACGAGTCACGCACGCACTCTATCTCGCCACAGACAACCGCCTCCGACAGTTACCACTAGGAGCTTGCATGCATCGGTGAGTTTGAAAACGACATTTTCTACCGGTCTACCAATAATTTTTGACAACTCAGTGTACAGATTTTGATACTCGTAATGTTTGGGCCACATGTTTGTAGGTGTGCCCAGTTTCAATTAAAGTAATCTGGCATTCTCAGTTTATTTGCAGTAATAATTCACACTTAACACGATAAACAAGGTAATCAAGGCAAAAATTTAAACGAAATTTTTAAAAATTAAAAAAAGTGAGACGGTCTATTTCAGGCCCAGTCTATGTACACTATACCCTAGAAAAGCCAAAAATTCAGGAATATTATTAAAAATATAATAAGAGAATAAGTCAAACTAAATTACTTGCTAAAAATAAAAATGCAATTCAAATTTTGATGATTTTAGAAGATGGCGCCCTTCCAGTCATAAAATTATATGTCAAATGTCATGTCATGTGACTTGAGTCATGAAATTATGTAGGTAGTGTAATTTTTTGTTTATTCCTAGCTTGTTTGTGTAATTGTGAACTCCTCATGTATATGTTTATCGTGTTAATTTTGGATATCTTTAGCGTTTCGTTTTTTACTTATTTTGAGAATCTGTTACTACTTGTTAGACACGGTTTTTGTTTTATGGATTTCATGATTAACGTAAGATTTTGATTTTGTTGATATCCGACATCTGTAGAATCACATTTTGAATCACTAAGCAGGTATGTAAAGAAAGATGTTTCCTTAAGTTATTAAACGCATTAGAAATAAACGATTTCAAAATTCAAATATCTGTCAATAAATTGATCAATCACCTCAAAACATTTGACAGCTATCGTCAAAACGACATCAATTAGCAATAAGTGTTGCAGTTTTTGGTAAAAATAAAATATTAATAGCACTTTGACTATATATAGTATACACTACAGATATATTATTTTTATATAGTATGCACAGAATGACCAAAAGTGGTATAATAAAAAAAAATAAAGTTGAATTAAATGCGATAAAATCCGTAAATAATAGTTTTATTCAATGTGTAGTGTTCGCGTAAATTTAAGAAATCAAAAGTGGTATAATATATTATATAATATATTATTTCAATTTATTTTCCTACTTGTACAAAATCAGGTCTACCCTTCAGACAATTTTGAACCGTCTCCATTCAACTCAAATTCAAAATTTCTCATAACTTTGACGATTAATATGAAAGAACGCAATATTACGCAACAATTATTTAAGAAGAGATGAAACTTGAAGAAAAAAACATTCCAAAACTTTTTTCTTTAATAACATTTACAATTTTTGTAGCCAGTTCGCACGGTAATTTCAAGAGGAGAAATGTGTATGTTCTTTTTTATTTGTGTATGTTACGCAATGAATTCGTCAATTGTGAACCGATTTTGATAAATCTTTTTTTTAATTGGACAATACTACAAGAGACATATATGCTTAGAGAGAAATTCCCCCCGGAAGGTAAAATAGAGGACGAAATTTGTAATGAAAGTATTTAGACAACATTGAGATGGTAATGTTAAAGAACATAAGTCCACAAAAAAGGGTAAAAAAATTAAACTTAATAAAATTGACTTCGAAGAACATAAAATAATTTCACATTGTGCTCAGGGTTTCCATTTTTCTATGCAACAATATGTCTTAGCATAAACCTTATTTTATATGTATTTAATAGTTTAAAGCCGGTTTTTACTTTCTAATATCAGTTAATTTTTTGTCCCGTTGATATCGTATTTACTGATCATTAAAAATGCCCAAAACTTTTACAGCTTCCAACAGATGGCGTTATAACGATTTCATACATACCGGATATAAAATTCTCGGATCAAAAATACAAACCAGAGTAAAATGGTATGCGGTATATATAATAATAATCTGGCCTATTCGTCTGCCTATGACGAATAGGCCAGATTATGACAAATATACTGTGCACACTGGAAGACACCAATGCCCATCAGTGGGATTTTAGGAACTGATGAAAAAGATTGCCTATTCGAGCGCACACTCTATCTTGACTTTTTAGTACTGAGATGAATTTTTAAACTAGTCTACCTCTTAGTATCTTTGGGCCGATGAAGCCACAACCCATAGACACCTGCAATCAACTTCAGATGAAGAAGTCTGCGTCATGTCGAGTCATGCGTTGTGATCTCGATGAGTGATAAGAGATGGAATCATATATCATATATATATATATATATATATATATATATATATATATATATATATATATAATATATAGGCTCTGTTTTCTACAGACCAAAATACAACGATGTAAGCACTGTTACTCGAAGGCAGTAAGAGAGCGTTACTTTGCCAGGAAAGAGTTCTAGCAGCTAGATGTTACGCTTATGCGATATTAGAATGAATTTTGACAAAAACATTGTTTTCTGTTGTATACTGTTAATCACGTACGCCGAACAATAGAAATAAGAGATAAGCTCTTGCATATGTCTCTTGTAGTATTGCCCATTTAAAAAAAAAGATTTATCAAAATCGGTTCACAATTGACGAATTCATTGCGTAACATACAAAAATAAAAAGAACATACACATTTCTCCTCTTGAAATTACCGTGCGAACTGGCTACAAAAATTGTAAATGTTTTATTAAAGAAAAAAGTTTTGGAATGTTTTTTTTTCTTCAAGTTCATTCATCTCTTCTTAAATAATTGTTGCGTAATATTGCGTTCTTTCATATTAATCGTCAAAGTTATGAGAAATTTTGAATTTGAGTTGAATGGAGACGGTTCAAAATTGTCTGAAGCGTAGACCTGATTTTGTACAAGTAGGAAAATAAATTGAAATAATATATTATACCACTTTTGATTTCTTAAATTTACGCGAACACTACACATTGAATAAAACTATTATTTACGGATTTTATCGCATTTAATTCAACTTTATTTTTTTTATTATACCACTTTTGGTCATTCTGTGCTATTATACTATATAGTGTATACTATATATAGTCAAAGTGCTATTAATATTTTATTTTTACCAAAAACTGCAACACTTATTGCTAATTGATGTCGTTTTGACGATAGCTGTCAAATGTTTTGAGGTGATTGATCAATTTATTGACAGATATTTGAATGTTGAAATCGTTTATTTCTAATGCGTTTAATAACTTAAGGAAACATCTTTCTTTACATTTAAACACAGTTAAATCGTCCATCATCAATTAAGATCAATAAAGTGCATGTTTAATTGAAGGTATGACAGCTGCGTGCGTTGTGTCCTAGACCCATATTGCGGGTGGGATAAAGAAGCTGGTGTATGTCGTACATATACACCAGGATTGTTGCACGATGCCACTAACTCCACGCCATCGATATGCGAAGCAAGTGCACCACAGAGAACAGTAAGAGCGGGATATGGGCAAAGTGTGCATATGTCAGCTTTCGGGAAGACTCCGGAAGCGCTAAAAGACCAGAACGTTATCTGGTATCATCATTCTAGGGAAAAAGGACGTTACAAAATTAACTACAAGTGAGTAATTACTTATAAAGCATTTTTGTGTATTGTTTTGTTGAAAAAAAGTATCGGCTGTTATGTATTTTTACCGATTTCAAAAAGGGGGAGGTACTTATTCAATTCGACTGTATGATTTTTTATGTGTGTTACTTGAGAAATATTCTCTGGGTGAACCAATTTTGATGATTCTTTTTTTATCTGAAAGCTGATACTTCTTGTGTGGTCCCGTATAAATTTAACCAAGATCTGACGAATAGTTTTTGACTTATCTTTAATAATGCGTATTTAATTGATTGTTGTTCTAATATAAATTACGTTGATGACGGCTGCACAAAATTTGAATTTTTTCCACTTGTTTTTTCTCGTATTTTACAAACTTATGATTGGGTTTTACGTAGTCATAATTTTCAACAAATCATGCAATGAGATATTTAATCTTCAGTCTTTACATAAGTCTTCAAAGGCGCTAGTGATATTTGCAATCATTTTCTTTGGAATGGACTGCATTGACATTCTTTTGTAAAATATACACGTTAGAGCCACGCTGCAAATGTATAATGACTGCAGTGCGAATTGTCAGCTAGACTGGGGAAGGACCACACTTGCATAGAATACTTAATAAGAGCTGTATAATGATAATATGTTTTATTTGGTAGGTGTGGAAACCAATTTCTTTTTTACTGGTAATGAGGCATTATACTCATGGGTGATATCGTGGCTATATTTTGGTTTTTAAAGGATGACCGTTAGGTGAACTGTGTGGTCATTTTTCACTTTTACTTGTATAAAAATAATACTTCCATCACTAAAATAAGCAAATGCAACTAACTACTACAAACTAAATGAAGTAAATACTTACCGTCAGGTAGGGAATACTACACCTTGCTTACAAAATATTGCAGATGCGTTGTCATATGAAGAAATGATATAGATGAAATATCTAGAAGAAGCTGATGAAGAGCAGAAACTGAAGAATTGGATTTTGTACATGGTAGAGACACGCAGCAGCTATATTATAGTTGTAGCACGAATGGGTTGGCGCAATCGGGGCAAGACCACACTCTCACAAAACACCAACGTAAAATAAGCAGCTTAATGCTGCTGAGTTTCGAATGGTGAGTGTAGAGAACCGGTGACCCTTTTTACTGGAATCGAGACATTCCATCTTAGTTCTCAGGGGTGATAACGCATTTGCATTTTGATTCTTAATTGAGGATAAATGTGAATGTCTATGGGCCACAGCATCCACTTACCGTCAGGTGGACTGTGTGCTCGTTTGTCATCCAATACTATAAAAAAGGAAGAATTTTCTGCGTAGTTACTACTATGATTTAGCGTTTAATATGCCATTATTTTTTAGTTGGGAGCGTATATTGCAGACCTCGGAGAGGGGCTTAGTATTGTTATCAGTGACCGAATCCGATCGCGGTCGCTACGAGTGTTATTTTGGTCCCACGCTAATCGCGTCGTATAATCTTGACATTGATACCCAAAGGTAAGTATTCAATAAAATTATAATAAAAGACGTATATTGTATCAGTATTTGTTTGTAACTGTAAGGACCGTTTACTCTTTCTAACTCTACTCTTTTAATGGTAGCAATACCATTTTAGTGTTTGATAATTTTATAAGTAATTATGATGAAAAATGTTTAAATAATGTTAAATTATGTCTCTCATAGCCGCGAGAAAGTAGTTTAGTATATTTTAACCTGTGCCTTAGTTGACTTGTATGAACTTTAGGGAGTATTCAAAATATATAGTGATTTAAGGTGTTAATTAAATATATTATTAATAAGCTAACTTTTAAAACGAAGTAATACACACCATTTTATATTTTACGTGGATATTAGCCAATTGTTTTTCACACTTATATTTAATGAATTTCCGTCAATTAACGCCTCATTCTGTCATGTGTTATTAAATATACTATATGAAGGAATAGAATATAAGAGGGAATTACACCTTCAAAAATTACCTATCCTAAATCTAAAGTATTCAGCCAGTTTTGAGCATAAGCAGTGTTTAAAGTGTAACCGTATGTTTGCTTTGGATCACTTTTCCGAGATTATTTTATTTCTTATCATACATACTATTCTTGTAAGGTCTAATAACAACGACAATATGATTAGATTTTTATTGGATATGGAAGGCTTGGTAATAAGTTAATAAGGTGAAGGATTCTCGAATGTGTAAACAAGGTTTTGAATACTAAAAATTATGAGCAAAAATTTACATCTAAATATAATTTGTTTAATAAGAGTTTATTTTTAGCGGACTGTAAATGTACAAGCATTTATAATATGTTTTGTTTACTGGAATCTAAAATTTCTTGCATGAGACTTCCTTGTTCTCACGTACAACTTTAATGACTCGTTCGCTCGTTATTAGAAATGATATCGATAGGTTATATCATACTTAGAAAATAAAATAATTGCACATTAGTTTGAAGCATGTTTATTGACGTTGTATAGGTACGCTGCAGCTATATTATGCTTGGAGGTTAAGTGGGTCGGCTAAACCAAGCCCTCACAGAATATCAAACAGCAACTTAATGCTGCTGTGTTTTGAATGGTGAGTGAAGAACACCGGACTCTCTTTTTAATGTTAGCGAGACATTCTATCTTATTCCTCAGGGGTGCCAACGTATCTACATTTTGATTCCAGTTGTGGGTGTCTATAGGCCGGGGCGTCAACGTACCTTCACGTAGACTTTATGGACTTTTGTCACTGTATAAAACTAGTACTGTACAAAAAATTAAATATGTATAATTATAGATATCTAAATAAATTTTGATGGTGTTTTAATGAGAAATAATAGTCAGAGAGATAGTTTCGTAATATTGATTTTAAAGCGCGGAGTTATTATTTGTTTTTCAAATCCCCTCGTGCTTTGAAAAGCTTGTAGTTATGTATGCTTGAATCTTTAGAGGTTAGTTCTAAAGACACTAGAGTTTTTTTTTTAATATAAGAGAGGGGCAAACGAGCATACGGCTCACCTGATGGTAAGTGATTACCGCCGCATAATAAACAACTGCAACACGAGGGAAATTGCAGATGCATTGCAGGCCTTTTTAAAAGGAATAGGCTTTTTCTTGAAGGTCCCTAAGTCGTATCGATCCGGAAAAATCTCTGGCGGCAGTCAAAGTAATCGAAAGCAATTCCGACACAAAAGAAACGGTTTTGGATTTTGTTCTGTTGACTATGGTTGACATCCGAGAGACTTGCGACTCAACATTAAGGTACTATACACTGTAAGCCATTTACTCAGACATCATTGAATGTAAATTATTGTTTTAGGTGTACACAACCAAGCAGATCTCAAGAATATAAGCAGGTTTACTCGGATTGGTGCCACGAGTTTGAAAAATATAAAAGTGCAATGAAAGCATGGGAATCCCGGCAGATGGTAAGATAAGGAATAATTTAATTTAAAGATTTACTGTTAATTGATCAATCAAAATTTTATTAAATTAAAAAAAAAACTGTACATATGAAGGATTGTATATTATTTAAGAAATTTACTAAAAATATATCCATAAATCTTTTAAGTGTACAATTTTTTTTTCATGACAATTTAAAATAAATAATAATTGCTGTGTACGATTCATATAACACTTATTTTTTAATTTTTTTTTGTAACTAAATGTAATCTTTTTTCGATATGTTGTACGATTTTTCTTACTAAGCAAAATACAAAATCGCTATTAATTAAAACTTAATTAAATGTTCGAATGATTGGCTTGCAGATATCATCTTTTGTTTTTTTTATATGTGACTAAAGTTTACTAGCTTACGATATGCACACAAATTTATTACACCCTTTTAAAAGATGTAGAATCATACTCTAAGGTCCTAAAATTGAAGTGAAATTTCAGAATCCATTACAATAACTAGCAAACGGGAAGTTAAATATTCTTGTCGTTAATGTAGTTGTTCATAACTCAAATTGTTTGCTGAATTATATATGACAACTGTAATAGAGAACACAAGCGACAGAGGGAAATTAAATAGGATATAGATAGCAGTATCTTCCTAACTACAACTCAAAATTATAGGAAACTGCGCTTGCCAAGCCGCCTGCCAAGCGTAGAAACTATGGCATGAGGCGTTTTATGGGGGTGGCCTATGTTTAGGGGCTACTTTTGATAGATAGATATTATTAATTATTTTTATTTAAAATGCCTCATTAATACAATTTTTTAAAAACCTTAACAATGCTATAATAATATCACTTACGCTAACAATCCTAACTGAAATGAAAGCTTGTAGTTGCTTCATAACCACAATCAAAAAGCGGAGTTAGACTTTAAAATCGTTACCCGAAGCCAATACTGTCATTCCTATTTTTTGTATTTGACATGATTTTTTACTAATAAAAAGATAAAATTACAGCAATGCTCCAAAAACCTGAATGCATCGAGCCAGCAAAACAATATGGATAACGAAATAGTGGCCTCACTGCGGTGATAGGATACAGCTCGTTAGTGATTAATGAACAAATACATTCATCGAGCCCCGGCTACGTAAGCTATTCGATATTTCATTGTCTGATTATTTCATTTTGCTGCTACATAATAAAATATGTTGAAGCTGTAAGATGAGTATTAGTTTTTAAATGGGATAAATTTTCGTAATATAATTGTTTAAAACATAATACAATTTATTATAACATAGAAGAAATACCAGTAAATGCACAATGCCATATTGAAAAGGAAATATAATCCGGTAAAAGATAACTTAGTATATTTGTTGGTTGATCCGGTTTCTGCGTTCTGTGATTGATGACTTGTTTTATTTGACTCCGGGGTTCAAATTATTTGTTCAGAATTTGATATTTCACTTTGGCTTCACAAAGTAAGACTGCAATATGGAGTAGTTCACGTTGCATACCGCGTTATTTAATACGAATTGTTAATGAACATCACTGAATACAATTTTGAAAAGCGTACAATTCGTTTTTCTTTTTAAATTAGAACAACATTTTTGATGAAAGTTGTACAAATACGCCTCCACATTGAAAGTAAATTGTAAATATTACAATAAGTAGGGAAGGTGAATTTATTCACGGAATACAAAAAGCTGTGATATCAGTTCATGTTTGATATTTGGTTAAAAAGTTAACAATATAAATGCTTACGGACTTGGGGTTTGTCCAATCAGTAAATATTTAATTACTTGCTAGTATTTCTTTTATAAATATATTAGGGCTAGTATCAGATTCAATAGGATAATGTATTGAAAAATACATGTATGGGACCTTACGTGTTATAATTTTCAAAGTGATAAGTATAGGAAATTCTCAAAATGTTTACTGGTTATTTTGTTCTGTTATTAATATTGTCCGCTAAAATTCGTAAACTAGCCTTAATATATAGTTTTTAAATTTTTTACATAATGTTGAAACATTAGGTTAGGTTCTTTATGAAAGACCAATAAACTACCGGTTTATGTATTTTCTTTAAAAAATAATTAAAATGATTTTCAAGCACACCTTCAAAATGTTATGAAAAATTTGTTAAAAAAGAGCAATATAAACGCCATTACTAGACATAAATTAAATTAAATCACCACATTAAAACTTATTTAAATAATTAAAACTGTTTATTTTTTGTATTACTGTATGTATTAAGAATATAATTATGGTTGTATCAAAATTAGAGTCGCGTGTAGTAAGTTGTTCCAAGTTGTTAAAGAGCTTCGTATAAAATGGCTTAAGTTTCAAAAACTTGATGTTATTGATTTATTGCTTGAAAGTGTAATTTGAAGCCCATTTTCGGAGTTTGAAACCGAATTTAATAGAAGTTGTTTACATTGTTTTCAGTTAAATTTTTAGTAGACAATCTTGCTAGAATAGTGCCTTGTGAAGCATGCTAAGTTATAAAAATAATAGAACTTATTTAAGATTTATCAATTTTAATATTTTTGTGTACTTATAGTTATTATAAATGCAAATGTAATTCGTTTGATGAATGAAGCAATAATCTTTCTTAGTAATAATAAATAGCCAGTATTAAAGTAATACATCAGAAGCTCTTGCTTTTGTATTGTAATTAAAAGAAATCGGTGGGATATAGCTCGCTTTCGCTTTTCTATACTATTGTTAATAAAATAGATATAGACTGAAATAAGGAATTGGCTTTTTATATTTACTCATTGCGTTCGCCTTTCCGAATCTACATTATACAAGCTTACCTAACAGAAATTGATCTACCCTTTACGGTAGATGGCGCAATGATTTTCAATCTAAATTTACTCCTGACTTTACACAATGTAAATAAATTTGTTCTGATAGTTCGACAACAGCGCCACCTATTGGGTATAGATTTTGTGACTTTCTTTTTAATCATAGAACCAATATACTATATCGTGAATATGAGTCGTTTTGGATCATAGCTTACTCGTAGGTATGAACCCGCGTCAAGCCAAAACAAAAATGTTGTGTTTTTGACCTCAGTCGGTCAAGTATTTCAGAAGTTTCACGATCACTTGAAGACGCACTAACGGTATAAACATATTACATTTAGGTTTTTATCTAATAAGGTGGTTACTCCTAACACTCCTTTTTTTCCTCCGCGCCAGAGTTAAGATGCATATTGTATATAATTATGAAATAATGTATTTGAATTCAGAGATTGCTATCAAAATATTATGTAGGTACGTTTATTGTAAAAATACTATTAAGTTAGATAGTAAGCAATTGTTTTATAAACGGAACAGAACAAATAAATTATTTTAGAGTTATGTTGTTTTTTCTTATCACATCTTAGCTTTTTAATTGCATTCTCCCTTTCTTACACCGGCAAAGTAAAAATTGTGCATCGGTCAGTCACCAGAGCTTCCTTCCTCTTTATTCATCAGGGTTGCCTGAGTGTGAGATAGTGCTCGGCAATGAGTAAAATATCGTGAGGAAACCTGAAAGAAATGGCAATAACATTTTAACATGTTTAGATTTATCTTTTCACTATCTAACTATCAGAGGACTCTTTCCTGAAAGACTTGCTGTTTCGAGTATGTTCCACAAAATTTCAGAAAAATGTTGCGCCTATTTTACTTTTTAGTGTTATCAGTATTTTAGTTAAAGAGTCAGACAGTACTCCCTTCAAATTAGTTCAGCTACATTATTCAATTCAAATTATCGAAAGCGTTTTAGTATTAAAGCTCTTTATAAAAGAAATTCTGTCTAAAGTTCGCTCATTACTAAGCTTCTCTTCGTATTTTTTACGGGCAATGAAACAGTAATTCGAGTATCGCAAGCGGCGTCTGTCTTAGATTGGCGAACATCATAGAATTTAATTACCAGGGGAGACGGGAATAATTGGCGAGTCGCCTGTAATGGCCGAGCTTTACGGGCAAATTAATAGATTTGCGCTGCAGGATTCGTGAATTCTGCGATTCTGAGGACGCTGAATTCATTTTGATATTAATTACTGATCTAATATCAGACCGCTAATGTTTCTACGGAATTGAAACGGTCAGCTGTAAAATTGTCTTGAGTGTTATTCGTGCATTTTAATTGCAGTACCCTTTCAGCGGTTCGTAAAAATGTGTCAATTATGGATCAGAACAATTGGCAATGAATTTGGATTGTTTTATACTTCTGTAAACTATATATTTTCGAAAAACTATGATATGAATAGACAGAGCTATCGCGATAATGGTTATGTTCGAGAGCCTCCAATATAGAATAATTTAAATTTCTTTAATTATATAATTACATTTTCCGAGGCTTTGCTCGCAAAGATTTCGTTTTTCCAACATTTTGATGCCATTCGCAAAATGGAGTACTTTTAAGATAACCTCATAGTCTACTACTGTGTTTGTCTATGACAAATATTATTCTCAGAGAATGTTTTACATAGTTGGTTCAAATATGACAGTTTTAATAAGTATTCAGTTACTTAAGTAAGGACATGAAGTTTTCTACTTAAGGGATTAGTTTTGTTGAGTAAAATAGAAAGCTAAAAATATATTAAAAAAAAAAAACAATTGACATAAACACTTGAAACACAACATATGTATTTGACTTTATTTCACTTTTTTCCGAATTCTTTAAAATACATGTCTTTATTTTTCCACGTATGAGTGGGTTCTCTTACAAAGTGACTTTTTGTGATTGCAATAAATGATTGCAAAAAAATCTTTAAATTAAAACCTTATTGTACGATGTTCTCTTTTTATTTTATATATTAGTTGAGCAACGCTCGCTCGATTCGCTGGGCACACGTTAATATTTTATTGCGGAACCTAGATGAATATATCAAGATTTTTCTGATGGGGCTATCGTAAAATCCATTTTTAGTAAGCGTGTCTACATTGCGAAATGAATAACTATACAAAATTTGAAGTCAATCGGGTGTATAGGCTTAGAGATTTCGTCAGTCAATCAGTGGTATTTAGCGTAAATATTATATTCAATTGTGTTACAACAATACTGTCAATATTCATAAGAATTATATAATGTTCTTAATAATTGATAATTAAATTAATAGCTCACTGCTAAGAGAGAGCCAGCATCTGCTTGCACACACACTCGTGCACTATAATCCTGACCTGTGCAGATGGCTACTTTCCGTTGAGCCTGGCTGCCGTGACAGAAATTTGGTCTAAAGGACATTTTAATTATGATTAATATAAAAGTTAATGTTAAGCTTCACACAAATTGTTTTTCAATTGTAAAACACAGATTTTTCAATTGTGTTATAACTAAAATTAATAATAGCGCCATCCATAAAAATGTCTATAAACTGACAGATAATTACTTGTCTATAAATACAAATTTAAATAAGGTTGTGATTTAACAATGAGTAGAACTATCTTTATTTCAAACATTGGAATTTGGAAAAGTCACTTATTAGATAATCCACTGAAAGTGGAAAATTAAGGAACAGTATTTTATGGGGCTTATCAAAATGGCCAACCAAATGAAATATTAAAAAAGAAACAGCGCAAATCTGATGATTCCCTCCACTATGTCATTTTAATGACATTCGCGTATTTGAAGAGGAAGTTTTTTTTAAAAAAAAAACGTTTTAAGTGTATAATTATAACATTATACTGTGTAATGCAGCACGAATAGGTCGGCTGACCGACCTACTCGTGCACAGATTTTTCACATTCTGTCACAGAATACGAGCGTAAAATAGTAGCTTAATGCTGCTGTGTTTCGTATGGTGATTGTAGAGAACCGGAGACTTAGTCAGAGATCTTAGCCCTCGCGGGTGACAACGCATCTGCATTTTGGTTCTTAATCGAGGATAGATGTAGATGTCTATGGGCCACAGCAACCTATTACCATTAGATAATGTGTGCTCGTTTGTCACCCTATCCTATAAAAAAAATTAAGTCATACATTTCGTGTTTCAAAGGTTTATGTCTTTAAAAAAATATTTTAGCTTTCGATTTTAGCTAAGAAAACTAATCTCTTAAGTTGGAAATTTCATGTTCGTATTTGGGTAACCACATATTTA